AAACAAAGCGAAGCTAAAGCTGTTCGGTCAAAGTATACAGCAATGCAAAATGATGAATAAGAACATTGTATGAATTGACGAGAGTAAGTTTGTGCCCTCAGTGCTTACATTTTCTTCCAGCAAATTTTAACCTGTTTCGTAATCGGAGTCGTGGACGGACCATGTGGGGACAGAAAGCACATTGCACGGTTGCGAGCAGCAGAGGCAGAAACCTGCATATTATTGATGCCATCTCAAAATACGGACTGATAAGTTATAAACTAAAGCGGGGCTCATTTACGGAAGAAATTGGTCAATCGTGGTTGCAGAATGTCTCCAATGATTTACCGGAGTTTGTCCGCAGGAATTTGTTGGTTGTATGCGACAACGTACCTTGTCATTGCGGCTCGGAGGCAGTGCTTGATGAGCCTGTATATTCCGGTGCCATATTGCTGCACCTTATTCTTCAGCACTAAACCCAATTGAAGGTGTCTGGAGCATGCTCAAGCATTGCGTGAAGCAAAGCATGCATCAGAAATACGAGGTCATACTCGCGGGGGATCCATCCGGCGTCTTGTCTGCGAGAAAATCGCGGATGCAGTGCATGGAGAAATGTGCTCAGACTGCCAAGATGTCAGCAAACCCAGATATGTGTGCAAATATGATTCAACATGTATCTAAGATTTACTCGAAAGTGCTCAATTATGAGGACTTTTAAATAAAACACGATCGTTTTTTCATTGGGAAATTTTCCTTTTTCGCCACGATAATCGTGTGGAAAGCGGAGGTGCGGCGAGTCAGACAGTTGTGCATGCTATGCGTCACCTAAAGATTGCCAGCTTTTAGGAGTCTGAAAGAAAAGTAGTGAATCACTTGTAGTGTATTTATATCGGTAGAGAATTTAGGCATACAGTTATAAAATGACTACTGTAACATTTCATTTCAAACTAGGACTCGTTGTCAAACGTAAATGAAATCAATGAGATATTGGGATTAAGATCATTCCGGGAGCCTGTGACGTTTACGCGTTTATAAGTCCAATGATCGTCACAGGTTTGCGGGTGAGACAAATGTTTGTCTCTCTCGACGTGTAGGTTTAAACAATAGACCGAGCGTAGAGCTTCGAGAGTTAATCATCACCTCTTCTTCTTAGCTCGCTCCACCATCTTTTAGTTATCGATTGCGATCTCATGACCTGTCCGTGTGCAATGGTTCCAGATTTGTGACCTCGGGCCATCACGTCCGATGGCAGGCTGGTGTTCATGTAGGTGAGGGTGTAGTTGTTTGCCTGTTTCAACCATGTCGTGTTTATTGCTGCCCAGGCACGCGTAGATTGCCCCTGTTCGTTCGTACTGTTTGATTCGATCTTTATCGTAAAATAATATCAGCGAGGCATAGGAACAAAGTCAAAATGCGAAGACAGTTCTTTTTGATTTTTCGTTTCAGGCATTAACATATATAGTTCGATTAGTCAATAGAATAATACAAGGCCTGGACTGCAGTTGAATGAATGTTTGTGTGCAAAATGTTTGGTAGACAACAAGCTATCAAGTCATGATAATCGGATAGGGAAAAGCCGGATAAAAATTTGAGATGAAAGATGTTAGTCAAGAATGAATAGAGCAGGTGAGAAAAAGAAACAGTAAGTGAGGAGTGAGGGTTTTCACTGTGGCGAAGTAATATTTGATAGCTGGATTCTGTGAACCATTCAGCATTACCGAGCACTTCTAGCTATTTACGGGCAACAGCCATTAGTTAGAGCTTGCTTAATCTTTTCTCTGGTGGCCTGCATAATTATGCAAGACATTGACGTAGGTCCGAAAATCTTCTCTCCTTTGGACCTGCGCCGAAAAATGTCTTACCCCTTTTCAGATCCTCTAGCCTAAGTAATATCACGTCAGGTGCATAGGTTGTTTCATCCTTAGTTTACCAATGTGTGATATTCATCAACTGATACTGTGCCTCCGTCGTTTCCCCTGGGTTGACTGCAAGAACACTTAAATACTGCATTGTGGTTCAGCTATGATAACCGAAAGGTGTTCTGATCTCCTAAAACTTATTAACTTTTCGAACATCTTCACAATATCTGACAGGCGATGGCTTCGGTAATCACTATTCTAAGAACGATCACCGTGCTGTTCCCATGGTAAACCTGAATCGAGAAATGCGACAGTGGCAATAAGATTGTTCGAAGACAGTTTGCACTTACTATTTGTGAATGCCATGCGTTAACCTAAATTCACCCAGTTTACTTTGTTTGATGGATGTTTTTAAGTAATACCGTATGATTTCAGCGATAAAGATTATCGAATTTAGAGCCCATACTCAGAAAAGTGCATTTTGGAAACATTCCAATGGCTCGAGCATGCTTCATTCGTATCAGCGGAGGGGAACATACTGAGGCGTACGCGTACTAACAAGATGAACAACCGATATGTATGTCATCGGAATTGAGGCGTGTGACCGAAGCCCGTCTCACAATCGTCCCCCGCGCTTTAACGGGAGGTTGAGAAATCGGTGCTGCATGATAGACATCTAGACATCGCTAGGAGGCTTGTCAGCACCGGTGAGGTCAATGTGACAGCTTGAAATGATCCGAGGACATCTTGAAATAATGGTCAGACAACTTGAAATGAGTCCCAGGACATCTTGATATGATATTGGGACAACTTGCAAAAGGTATAGAATAATGAGTCACTCACAAATGCCCTAATATCTCTGATCCACTAATTTGGTTAAAATAACTGCGGTAAACACGACTCTGGAAAGTGCTCCGAACGCACTAGAGAGCAGTTGGGTGGTTTTAATGGGAGCATCTCAGATCGCCATTTCGTGATTGAACTGTAATCAATTATACTCTGGTCGAAGATTGCAAATGATCTCTTCACACAAGCCTTCGGTATCGACCACAGTCACATGGGGTAGATCTATACGCGACATTCTTGGTGTTATATGTGAAATAAAAAGAAGCTTTTACGGACCATTTTCGAGATTAAAACGGTTTAGAAGACGGTTCCCAAATCGGTGAGGAAACAAAACATGTGTCGATTCGCCCTATGGACTGGCAGTTGATCATGCACGTCGAGGGGGACGGTTATAATTCTCAATTCTAAACTTCACGGTCAAAGTCACGCTAAGGACACGGCCATATTGGCCTAGAATTACGATCTAAAAGATTACTTCTTTCTTAGTACCCAACAGCGATACGGAAAAGGGAACACAACTGGAGAAAAATGGTCAGAGTGCATTCAATGATCCCGGCGCGGCAGGCGTATATCAGGCGTAACTGGAAGATACGAGAGGGATATAATGACAAACCAGATTGTATCCTTGACTCTCCGATCAGCTGAGCGGACAACTGATTCGTTCGACAGCCATCCAATCCAGCCTCGACTTTCCTTTGGCATCGCATGAGTGCTTGTGGCATCACACGGATCTGTGCGCAGCCTAGTGAATTCGGTGAGCTCCGTTCTAACATAAAAACAAACCGCGCTGCTGATGAATCCGATCAAGAACAAAATGGCTGTCCAGTGCTTATTGTCACCAATGATAAAAGAGTTTCACCACACAGAATTTTCCCCGTGGTGGGATGTAAATGATTTACAAAAGTTAAACTCCTAAACACGACAGTATTCGTGACAATCGAATGAGCTCATGTAAACACAAACAATAAACTTAAAACGGGATGATAGACTAGCAAAGCGTTTGTTGTTTATTCGGGGGAAATTAAAAACTTGTGGCAGTAGTCGGAATAGGCACCAGTCACGGATCGCGAATCAAACTGGCAAATGAGGCAGGGAATCGCGGTGGTAATCTTATGCTGGAAATCTTCCATCACCGAGATGCAGGAAAATGGCCACAGAAGTAGCAGTTCGTTTATTGAAAGAACTCAATCAGATTATGAAACTTCTAAATAGAAATATAACTAGACAAACTGGCATCAACCAATCACCAACCAATTCGAGCCACACAGTTATTGTACGAACCGTATGGCGATTGATCGATACGGTTGACCCGCGATCCGATGTCCGGAAAATGGAACGCGTAACCGCTGGGCTGGCGGAGTGCCGATTCACTACATTTATCATGATAAAATCAGTAGAACACGTTTGATTTATATTTCAATGCATTTAAATATACCTTTTATATAGATGTAGTTATCTTATCATACAGATGGAGCGTAACAACTCACCGCAAACTAGACTATGGTAATCCATTGGATTGACCAAAACTAAGTTAATATTCGCTATCAAAAACGGCCGGGGTTGGAATCGTTTTCCCCACAAACTCGTCCATCTACTGAACGAAAGCAAAGGACAAAGATGATCATTACTCGCTTGAGCATTCCGTCACGTACAGAATGATCATTCCTCAGTCCACCACATTCACCGCATTTTTGGCTGAATAGCGTCGTAATGCTAGGACTGTGCCATCTCGAGCAGGCGGCAGCCAGTGGAACGATGTTGTTGTTGACGTCATTCTGTCGCTTTTCTCATAAAACACGATATTAACCTCAAAAAATCTGTCGTGGTGAAGTTGGGCGAAACGTTTCTCCTATCTGTTGAAATCCGGCCATAAAGTACCCCTATTGAAACGTCTGTTGATCATTACTGTTCATTGTCTTCTCAAAACTTCAAACGGGCACATGAGCCATGGACAGCTAGCTCTTCTAGATGAATGCCTTAATCATGCTGTTCTTCAATGAAGGAAGACGAACGTTCAAATCACTTATGGATGTGATAAGCGAATGAAACTTTTCAGATAGGGTTTGGTTATTGGGAAGGCACGAATTCTTTATGAAAGAATCCAAACAAACCTGTTCCCATAATACAGTCAAGGACCAGAAAGATCTAGCCATATTATGTCAATGGTAGATGAAAGATCGCCATACTCTGACAGAAAAACATTGGCGCAGAAGGCACCAAATGATGATAAATGAGAGGACAGAGGGTCTATGAGTGAGAGGTGTGGGATTAGTGAAGGATAATTATTATTTCATCTCTCTGAAAACGGGCATCGATTCACTGGTCTCCTAATCGACGTCCTCTTCCTGGGAATCGTGCAGCAGGGATGTTGATGTTGGTAGGAGGCACTCGAGTTGTGGCCGGATTTCGCACTAAGGGATTATTCACCGGTCGAACAGTTCGTCTCTGAACCGTTAGTGTGTGGACACTCGAGCCTGTGGCCGAGCGTACTGGAGCCAGATGTGTACGGGCTGGACGTTGTGATAGCACTGTATGCGGGACACTACCGGGCATGAACTTTCTCTGCTGTGTTCGCGGGTCACGTATAGGCGGTAGGTCGTAAACCGGACGCTTGGGCACTGGTTTCTTCCGGGAGCTAACCATTGTGGAGTTGGATGCATTGGTCGATGCAGGAACAGGACTCGCCCGACTTTTTTGCGAGACAGGTGCCAGAGAACGAAGTACGGACAGATTACCCGGTTGGCTTAGACAGACTGGACGTTCTGTGGGGCGAAACAATCGATGCAAGTTGTGAATACTCAGTTGTAATAGTTAAAAATAATTATGCAAACAAAAGTCACTCTGACCGAAGAACAACATCAGTAACTACCATCGTGAGCACCTGATTAATTGGGACTTTTATTCATATCCTAAAACACCCAAGTTTAAATATTCGTTTGAGCACAGCTGGTTTGAAGCTGTGAACCAATCTACAGTGGAAATCTGTGATGTGTGGTGGGGGTGGTCGAGTGGCAAGGTCGTCACAAAAAATAATCATTCGGGGGTCCCGAGTACGAACCCCATCGCCACCCCTTTCCATTATCTGCATCCCCCCGGGGGAGCATTTATATGGCCGCGGGCCCATGTTTTGAAAGTTGATTGCGCATTTCTATAATCACTAGACAAACATGGAAGTAAAATTACCTATTACATGCGTTTGTTACAAATATATAAATCTAATTATGGCTTTTGAGATTGAACTATTTCGGGGTCTCCGAGATACTCAAGCAACGATTGGCGCTTTCGTTATGCACAGTTTTACGTCGCAACTGCACGACTGCTACCTTCCATTGTCATCATCAAGAGGACAGGAAGACCGTGCTCCACTATTTCTCACTATCCCGTGATAAAAAGCTAATCAATATTACCCTAAGTCTTACAACATGAAGTGTCTACGCCTGTGTTTCTCTCTATAACCCAGTACAAATGTGTATATAAATTGAAAAAGTAAACGGAGAAGGACTCATTGGGGTCTCTATTAGGTCGACCAATAGTTATCGTGCTTCGTTTGAGTTCTCATCCGGATTAGAGAAGCTGGTGGTCAACCTTAAACTGGATCGTATAGGCCAGAAATATTAGTTGACAGAGGGACCACGAACGGATAAACTAAGCGTTAGCGGGTAAAAGGAGCCCAAAATCGCATGACTAAAATACAGAAAAGCGAGTATACTGGATGAGCAGCGAAGCTAAGTCTACAATATAAGTCCCACATCACTCGTNCACTCGTGTTGGGTGGTACGTGAAAACAAGTTATTTCGACTGATTTTTCTATCATTTCTTTCGGCGTCGGCTTATCTAAGCTCGATAGTTATTAAGCACACACACACTGACTGCAGAACTTTCATCACTAATTGGACAGTTAAATCGATGACAAGCACTGCACTTCGAATACCGTTGAAGTACAAGTATATTAGGATTGTATCCCCGTGTAGGCTTTCCCTTAACTTCCACAACTAAAGATAGTTCAGAAAATGTTTCTCGGCTTAAAACGAGTCTCTAATAATCGAGCTCTACTGACAGTTCCATTGATTGGCTGTTCCCTTGGCTGTCACACTTGGTATCTCAAGGTTTCCCATCATAGAGTAGCCATTGAAGATTTTTCGGCATCATCAGATGATCGCACAGTAACCCCTGGCTGTACTTCAGCAGCAACAACCTAATGGAGTACAAAACACTGTCTGTAAGCCCACATATTGCATGTGAAACCTTAATTCCGCCACGTCGCTTGGTGGTCTAGTTTGAGTCAGATGAAAAGCTGTGTTCAACACAAAATCGTTTTCTCAATCGATATCGGTGTCAACAGATGAGATTCAGATGCAATGAATTTCGTCGTGTGCAGAGCAAAAGAAACACGAACTGGGAAGTCAGGAGAGCTGTTTCGACCTGATTAGGTTTCATCCGCAGTGCGAATCCGTCGACCCAGCTGAGGATCGAACCCGGGACCTCACAGGTAGAACGCAAACCAACAAATAAACACCGATTAGCCAGGGAAGCATAAGACCATCGGTGATAAAAACCACACAGAGGAGAGACTTTTTAAAGCCAACTAACATCAAAGCATATAGGGCCATCGAGAAAAACAAAGTTGCTAAAGAATTGGTTAAAGAGCTGTGCTCGTTTGTAGAGTAAAACCCTCGAAGTAAAACAGAAAGAGAACCGAAATCCACATGTCATTTTCATCTCCATCGATCGTCTTTTGGTGCTTTCATTGTACACCTCAGTACACGACGGTACATATTTGGGTTGATAACAAGTACAGCGCACGGCGCTCGCAAACAAAAGAACAATCAGAGAGAAAAATCAGTCAGTTATGCTTTCAGGCTTCGTCATGAAATAAAAGTGCATAACTAAATGTTCGATACCAAGCCAGACTGAACGTAGTGTTTTCGAACAGCTTTTTCGCGCGGACACTTTGAAAGTGTTGGCCGAACAACCAGATACTGCGGTGTCATTTCTTCCTTACAATGCTACAGTCCACCGAGTAAAGTATTGTTGGCAGTCAGATGTGACATCGCATAAATTCCACCTTGACACCATTTCTTAACCCACCTTATATAAGGAGTTCAGTGAGTCCAAATAACAAATGAGAAAATCTCCCCTAGACGGACTAAGTGCAGTTCCTAAGGTCAAATCGTCAAGCAGGCTGGCTTCGTATGTTAGACAGACAGACAAACAGACAAGCCCCAGCGGATGGCACCCCTTCGTGTGTTGAATCTAACAAGCAAAACCATGTTTTTGGTGAATCTTCTAACATATAATCAGATACGTAAGCGTATATTTTTGAACATCAAAGTGATATTATTTACATGGAGAGAATGAGAATTTTCCCGTTTGTTCATTGTTACCCGAATAGGAAGATTTCACCTGGCTCATACTAGGACTACATAATCACTTGTTTGAGCGGTACATCGAGACGCGATTTGAAATTAAGCGGCATTTTTATATACAGGGCGTTTATTTTCTCTCTAGACCTCGGCTTCTAAAGTAAAATCAGTGACTGTTAAACGGTTACCTTTAGGTGACAAATGACAAGCTGATACTTAGAATTTCTCAACTATTTCCGATCAAAGGTTCAACATTTGCTGTTACATGATCCGTCCCCACATAAACTGACGACCAAACTTTTTTCAGGGAACTCAACGACATTGATTCCGATTAAGAACGAATTACGTTTTTGGCATGACAACTGAACCCTGCGCTAGTTAAGGTCCTCCAATCATTATGGTAGTGTACTGATAGTTATAAGCTGTCATTCCTGTTGACGGTTAAAAAACAAGACAAAAGACATCGCCGTTCTGAACTGGTGGATTTGCTAACGTGTGATTAGAGTTAAAACACCTTCCATCGAAACGGGTGTGATCAAAACATATGAAGGGAGGGCAAGCAATGTGAAAATGACACAGCGGAAATACGTTTTTCGTAAGAGGGGAACAGTCTAGAAGAAGTGTGAAATAAGCAGGTTTCAGTAGAATATGTGAAGAAGTTTGGGGGTAATCAAATGACCTGAACATAGTAACACGCACTACAACATGCATGTTTTCTGTTATACCGTACCTTGAGCGGTTTCTCACTAACGCCGATCTGGTCACTGAAAGCATCAAACTTTGCTGACTCTGCTCAATTAATAATGTACAACCTGTTTGTCTCTATCTTGCCATTTCTACTACACAAGAGTGAACTTGAACAGGTAGATCTTCATGCCTATGGGGCGAATTAAAGAGGTTTCTTGAATTGGCTTATTCCAGGCCACTACTCACTGGAGATTGTGAGCTAAATGAGAAGTAAATCCACCATAACAGGTTCAATTGCACACGTTCACCCAGTAACCGCATTGAAGATCTGATCTGTTCGTGGACTTGTGATTAAAGTGAACAGATACATAACTGCCCCATCCCTATCATAAGGGAAAATAAACTGACAAACGACAGCCAAACACACTGGAATTGATAATCCTGGTAAACCATGGTGTAATCTTTTGGGCAGCAGCAACACAGGTCGTTCATAGTTTCAGTTCAGTTCCGTTTGAACAACCATTAACCGTCAAATTTCGTGCGACGGGTTATGTTGCTACCTTTTGGCAGCCAATTGGGATGCAAGAGTGGAGAAAAGATTGGAATTCTGACAATGAGAAGGTGGAAGACAAGGTAGGTGGTAGACTAAGATAACAAAAACATTGAGTAGATGCACAAGCGCCACCACTTACGATATTCAGCCACATCACCTGATTCCAAATATCGGTTGCAAAACTCTCGAGGTTTCCATTCAGGGAGCCTAACGCAACCTATGGGAAACATCGCGCACCGTGACAACCTAACTGTTGACATGCATAGCACATGCCCCCACTAGCGTAATCAAAGAAAGTGAAACAATTTATCAGGTGGGCAAAAGCGATCACCTAACACTTCGCACCTAACCTCAGCATTGCTTGTCCGGTTGCCCCACTAGACTCATACAAAGCGGTGTAAACAGCTTTATTTGAACATCAACAGTCTGTATGTATCCGTATTGCCCAAGTTTCTCCATCGCACAGGAGCCCTGGTAGAACTGCTGCAGAATCTACTCAAACCTTCAAAGACAGCCGGACGTCGTGACAGCGCTCGAGATGCGTCACAGTTGGCAAATGCCAACCGAACCTTCTGTATGCGTGCCGACATTTCAACTGTGATGAGTCCGCCAGGTAACATAAAGCCGTCTAAAAAACAAAATTTGTCGACTTTTTCTACCAATTCCAAAGTTCAAATGAGGTTGTGAGCGGAATCAACTTAGTTCTGTAGTAACATTTAAAGTGCTGAAGGCTTTTCGGAAGTTGAAATCCTTGAGGGCTTGGTGGATAAGCAATACGGAGAGCGAAAGTCGAGTATAAGCGTTCGTACCTTACAGGTTGTCCAAAAAACAGGCATTTACACAAACAATGTACAAATTTCCGAGATCGAATTACTTGGCCTCTCGCTTAGTGCTGTCGAACAAGCATTCTTCCTTCTTCATCACACATCTCAGACAGAATTCGTTGCCACATCAAAATGCGTATGATGTGCCTCAGGAAGGCATGTGCGACGGGACTAAATGAGAGGCAAAAGTACTGCGGTATCTTCGAAGCACAGTTT